CCCGGGCTAGCCGCTCCGCCCCGGAGCCTCCCTTCCTTTGGGACGCCTGTCCCGGGTGCAGAATGAATGAGCCGGGCCCCCCGAGAGAGAGAGAGAGAGAGCCGGGCGGGGCCGCGGCGGAGCGCGAGAGGCGGCTCCGGGAGGGCCGCGCGTCCTGCCACCGACCCCGCACATGTTCGTCCCGGCCGCTCGCACTCGGCGGCGGCCTTGGGGGCTCGGCGGCGCCCGGGGGCCCTGGCTTCCGTGTCCGCTTGCCCGCGTTCCGCGTTTCCTTCCTCTGCTCGTAATCTCTGCGAAGTGATTTTACTCTGGTTGGCAAACTCTTTTTTTTTTTTTGGCCAACTGTTTTCCATTCCGAGGCGCTCGTTTAATTACCCAAGGCTTCTCCGAGGGGCCTCGGTTAAATGGGGATGAGCTGGGAAATAGTTTGCCTGCCTCGCAGGTGACCTGCGCCTTGAAGATTAAGCGCTCCCGAGGCTCTTGAGGAATCACCGTGTTTCGATAAGTACATATGGAACCAGGGAGGAACTCGTATCTTGGTTTTCTAAAGGCTTTACATAACCCCGTTGAGTCTTCAGACACGATAGGTATAGCAATCCAAGAAAACTAAATCCTAAAAAAAAAATCTGGCATCTTTTTATGAAGGATATTGGTTAAAAATCTGCACCGCTCGAGGTGCCAGCGAAGAGCCCCAAATTGAAGCTTCATTTTGCTTGCTGTAATCTAGTGAACACGTATTTATAGCGGTGTTCACTCTCTGAAGGATGTCCTGCACTATGTCACAAATGTGTGAGATGGGGGTGTGTGACAGAAAGGTGCTTAAAGTAAAAAAAAAAAACAAGACCATTGTAAGAGTTCTTAGGAAGAAAGAGTACATTGTCAGTGAGCACTGGAGTCTTAACATAAACTTCCACTGCCGTATTTTGAATCTCAGATTCTTTCACAGTGGATTTTAATTGTTGGGCCGTGCATTAGAAGGCCCTGGCCGTCGTTTAATTCTGAAACAGACACATGGCCACTAGTGATCGTGTTAATCAGTATTGCATTTGAAAAATGAGGGCTCCCCACCGCCGACCAAGTTTCTATTTATTGTTACTTTGATTGTGGACTAAACATAGTACAGATTGCTAATGAATATAATTCTATAAAATGCACAGCATATCTATCAGTTGATGTAGTTTTTCATTTTTGCTTGATTCTGAAGATTGGTATTCTGCAGTAATATGAAAGTCTTGGATGGGAAAATGAATTCTGTGGAATATTGGTTATAAATTTACGGAAATGGTTTAAAGTAGAAAGTTGAAAGTGGTGCCCACAGTTGAGTTCATTTGGTACACAATGCTTAAGCATACATTCAGGTTGCCATTTTGCTATATAAAACAAGGTAGTGGTAAACTCACGCTCTAATATATAATCTTTGCAGTATTTTATTGCAGGCACCTCTTTTGATTTAATATTGACTTTAGTACTTTCAGCTTTAAAGGATCGCCGCCCCGCCCCCCCCATCACTAGGGCAGATTAAGAGATTAGTATCCATTTTTGTATTATGTAGGTTCTATAATCAGTATAAAAATTTTTTTTTCTAGTGTTGGGAATTGAATTGAAACTAGTTATGGCTTTGGTACATGCTCTGCAGATGCTTTACCACTGAGCAACACCACAAGAAGAAAAACATATTTACATTAAAGTTTCCGTGCAAGCCTACTGAGTGCTATCCTCAACGCTGCACACAAACCCATCATGGTGTTATTTTGTTTGTTTGTTTGTTTGTTTTTAAACAGCGGTTCTCTCTAGCCCTGGCCTGCCTGGAACTCAGATCTACCTGACTCTGCCTAGAGTGCCGGGATTGAAGGTGTGTGCCACCGCACTCATCCATCGTGGTGTTGTATACTTCGGATCCCAGTGTGATAGAGGCAGAAGGGTTTAGAAATTAATCATCCAGCTGGGAGGTGGTGGCGCACGCCTTTAATCCCAGCACTCGGGAGGCAGAGGCAGATGGATCTCCGTGAGTTCCAGGACAGCCAAAGCCACACAGAGGAACCCTTAAAAAAAAAAAAAGTTAACCATCCTTGGCTCCTTAGGGGGTTGAGGCCAGCCTAGGATATATATGAGAGGAGGTTATTTCAAACAGGTTACTATACAGGGGGTCTATGTGATGAGAACTGTGTGGTAAGGGTACTTGAGGCCATAGGGACATACTTTCTTCTATTGGATTAGTATTTTATTTCTTGGTAACCTTTAACTTTCAAAGGATAAGGTCTACTATTGCTAAGAGTTCTTTGTTTTTAATTTTTTGAGACAGTACCTCTCCATGTAACTCCTGTTAGCCTCACACTCAGAGATCTCCCTGCATCTGCCTTCCCGTTCTGGAATTAAAGGAATTAATTCCCGTTAGTAATTAAAGTGTAGGACACTATACCTGGCAGTGTTACTATTCTTATCTCACAAATACCAAATAGTTTGATTTAGACAGTTTGGTTTGGGCAGTTTAGTATGGTGCTTTCTACCTCATGATGGCTCTTATATTTGTTCATTTCTAAAGCTATTTGATGACATTTTGTGAACCAGGTAACATGTTTTTTGCAGCCTAATGACTGATTCAAATGACTTTCCTATGGTCTTAAAACTGGAAGTGTGACCTTCCTGTCTCTTATTTGAGAATGACATAAGGTATGTAAAAAATAACCTTGATAGCAGTGAAGTGAAAGATAACCCCCTTCACTTTAGATGGGGTCTCACTGTGCAGCCTTTGTTGACCTCAGAATGCTCTGCTCCTGATTGCTGGGATTAAAGGTTTGTGCCACCATACCCAGTGGAAGTGACTTTTTTTTGAGTTACTGTTCACCTGGTGGATTCTGCTCTCAGATTCCTGTGTTCACTCCATTAGAAATTCTGTAGGCTTGCTGGGTGGTGGCACCGCACGCCTTTAATCCCAGCACTTGGGAGGCAGAGCCAGGCGGATCTCTGTGAGTTCGAGGCCAGCCTGGGCTACAGAGTGAGAAACCCTGTCTTGAAGAAAAAAAAACAACGAATCTTGAAATTCTGTAGTCTCTATTTCGTATGTTAGGCACATTTTCCCATCTGTCAGAAGCCGCTGGTCAGGTCTGTCCTTTGCTGCCTGCTTTGTTGCATTATTGCG